GGCGGGCGGCGCTGCCCCGCTGTACTCAGGCTCCGCCGAGCCCCTCGCGGCCAGGCCCCCCGAGCCGCGCCCGCGCAGCGACAGGCTAGCGGGAGGCGGGGGCGGCGCCCCGGGCTCGTGCTCACCCTCCTTGGCTTTCTTTTTCCTGGCCAGAGTGCCGCCCAGCTTGCCCAGGAAGGACTCGTCCTTCTTCATCCTGTGCGGCCGCAGCGTCGGGGAGCGCCCGGGAGCCGACATCTCGAGCAGCGGCACTGGGGCTTGTCTCAGCCGACGGGAGGGGAGCTATTCCCAGCGCCGCGTCCACAGCGCCCTGCCCTGGCGTGGAAGTCCGAGGGGCTCAGCGCTGCCTCCGCTCCGCCCCAGCCCCGGATGCCGTCCCAGCTACCCGGGGCGTGGAGCTGCTCGCCCTCCCGCTGCCTGTCAGCCGGAGGGGCAGGCAGCACAACTCCGGGGGGAGCAGGGAGTCCTGGATCAGTGCCCTAGCTGACTCTGCAGGTCCCTTGGGTCCCTGTGATACTCCTGCCACCACCCTAGTCCTTGTTAGTTGGGGGGAGAGGCCCCAAGCTAAATTCTAGGCTAAAAACAGGCCAAAATCTCACATGCAGGCCAGCTTGAATCCCCAGGCAGGAAGAGCCCAGAGAAACTACAGCGCCAAGTTGCCAGTAGAGCTGGAATGAGGGGAATAGGTAGATGGATGCCCCTTGGCCCACATCAACTGCTCCAGTGCTACTAAAGTCGGCAGAGCAATGACATTTAGTAACTGGTTTCTTGACAGCTGCTTGCCAAGCCCCTGACCTCCAGTCCAGGGCCCCTCTGTTTGACTGCTGCTTCTCAGTATGTGCCTTGACTCCTCTCCCACCTTTTGCATGCCACTTGTCTTCTTCGGAGATAGAGCTGTGTTGGTCCAACTGCAGATGCTTCCTCAACCTGACAAAGGGTATTTATACGCAAAAGCTTGCACAGAAGAATTTTTCCAACTACTTGAGTTGGTCTAATAAAAGATATCAGATTTACCCAAAGAACTTGACTTCTTCAGCAGTCACTGCTATGAGTACCAGGGGGGCAGCCCCCTACATGGGTCTGAAAGTCCTTCAGGGTCAGCTGGGCTCCACTTGGCAAAGGTATGCAAACTTCTTTGCAGGGCAGCGGCTGTAGTCCGCAAGCAGCAACTGCACCTCCCCAAGTATTTGCACAGCCCCTGACCAATCCTCATCATCTCAAAGCATCCACACTTGCAATGCATGTGCTTCATTGATCACACATGACAAACAGATCCAAATAAGTTTACAGTTGCAGGCTCTGGCCCTTCAAAGTCTGGGATACATGTTTAAGCCCCCAAAGTTCAGATGCTTATAGCTGAACATGTGCCTTAGCCCCTGATCCAACAAATGGCTCATGAAAGCAGACCCTCACCCCCACATGCCTTGCTGAAGTTACCAGGGCTTAACACAGACTTGCATCTGCATACCGACAAAAGCCTGCAGGATTGGGATCCTAACAACCCACAAGACAGAGAAGAGAGATCACAACACAAGGAGATACGTGGAGGAAGAGGAACACCCAGTTTACATGGTGACTCATTTCAGGCAGACATTTGGCCTTTCAAATACAATGTTTTCAATTGTTTTAGATGATACTTCAAAAGACAGTTTTGGGAGGACAGAGCAGGACTGCAAGGGGAAATGTGGAAGAAACCATGGAGGCAGATATAAAAACAGGAGGTAAAAAGTGTATGAAGACCAAGCAGAGGTAAAGGAAAAGCACATAAAGGCCAGGTCAGAGGCATGTACAGGGGTTGTTCAGACAAGTTTGAATGTTTTCCATGCAAAGAAATCGAAGGCAGGGTAGTTTATTTCTGTTGGTTAAAAACCATTCAGAAATAGGGGCACTTAGTGAAGGATTGTGTGAATGGGGAGCAATCTGGTTCAGTGTTTTTTGCATTTCCAGTACAATTTTCACTGAACAAACATCACTAGTTTATACTTCGAAAAGGGACAATGTTTATGTAAATCTTCTATTGGAAAATTTCTTTTTTTGCAACTAATATCAGACAATTATTGAAAGGGGAAATAAAAGTATCTCATGTTTCCAAATATTTCTATTTCTCATTTGATACTTTTCTTTTGTATAGCATCATCACTATTGTTCTGATGGGATCAGTTTCCCCTATTCCTTATGCAGCTGTTTCAGAGAGAGAACAAAAAGCTGCTAAAAATAGGTTTGTAACAGTGCTCTGCTGACAGGTAATCAGTTTCAGGTGCAGAGCCTGAAGTTACTTTTAATGTTTTTTATCTAGTTGCCTAAATTTCCAGTTTCCAGAGCTTCTTAAGTCTCCTGGTGCCCCACAGAGGCAACATTTTCAGTATAGTTTTCATCATCCCAGTGAGTAGATGCTGATTCACTGAGTAAATATTTCTCTGTGCTGTGTCCTCTGACTATATGCTGCTTGTGGCTCTCAGACTGGCCCCTTTCACTGTACATGGTGCATGGAGTTTGTCTGGCATGTGCTTCACACAGTGCAGGGGTGAAGCTGGCATGTAGGTTGCAGTCTAGAATGTTTGCCGGACAAAGACAGCCAGTCCAAGGTGCATGCTGCATGTGGAGCCTGTGCTAGACCAGCCCTGTGTCTAGATCAGACCCACAGACCAGTGGCACATGCCAGATCCAGGGCTGCTCTGGCATGGGTACCACATGCAGTGAACATTCATAACTGGCCCCATGCACCATTTGCCACACAGGACTGGGGTTGGTGTGTGCTGCACATGGCACATGGGTCCTGTCTGGTGCAGGCTGCACACATAGGAGTTACCCACACCAAAGCAGCTTTGCATTTTGGATCCAAGCTGGTCTGGCCACGTGTGCCAGATCCACAGACTAGCTGTGTGTACCAGATCCAGCAGTCAGGGCAAGGCTGATCCAGCATGGATACCACAGGAATTGCACTTTCCAGACCAGCCCTGTTCACTGAATGCAGCATGTGCCCCAGACCAGCCCCACATACTACATACTTCACACAGGCCAAAGGCCAGAGCTGGCACGTGCTGCATGTGGTGTTCAAGACTAGAGCCAGTGTGTGCACTGTAAGGAGTACGCAGGGCTAGCCCTGGGTATACACTCCATTCAGTGCTCATCAGACAGGCCCTGCATGCTGGGTCCAGCATTTGGGGCCAGTCTGTGGGCCCAATCTGACCCCACAGACTGGCCCTGTGCCAAGGCTGGATGAGTTTGACACCCCTAGCTTATGCTACATATACACCTGATTTAGTTTGACTATAAAGGTACAAATCTACCCTGCCTTCCTGACAAATATTATCATCCATCCTGCCTGCTGCTTCAGGCACAGAAATACTAAAAACTTATAACTGTGAGACCATCTTCACATTTCCAGAGCTCCTTTTAACTAAAGAAACAGTTCGTAACAGTTAACTGATCCTCTGTGACCTCCTGGTAAGTAGCATCCCTGTTTTACTGATGAGGAAATTGTGACAGAGGCAGTAAATGACTCAGTCAGGGGGGCCCGGTGAATCACTGACTACTGGAAATGCAAGATTCCCACTTCCGTGTTCTCAAGTACCCAGCTCTCTTGTAACCAACTCATCCTACTTAAAGCATCATTGCTGTACTATGATACTCAAGGTACTTAATTAAAAATGTTGCTTTTTAGAACACAGACACATTATAATTTGAAATCTGCAGAACTTTTTAACACTCCTCATGCCCACTGTATTCCTTTTCAGAATTTTACTGTAATCCTAAAAAGAAAAGAAAGATCTGGCAGACACGCCATTGTCCCCTTTTTACTCAGAAATCCCTCTCTCAGACCAAGGAGAAGTTTGATATTTGAACCTCATGGCAGATTGACTTCTGTAGCATGCTGGTGCATGAAGATTTTCTGCATAACAAATTAGTATATCTGTCTCCTAAAACAACGTGTAGTTCAATGCAGCAGCCTGAGTGAGATGCTATGGAGACAAATAGAGTGGTAGAGAGAGGTCCAGAAAAGCCAAGGCAAAAACTGAACTCATGCTAGCTACGGGAAGCAAGGACAACAAAAAGTCCTTCTTCATATATGTGGGAAGTTGAAAAAACAACAAAGATAACATTGGGCTCCTGCGATGGCAAGTGACATCTGACACCCAAGGGCCAATATCCTAAATGACTTTTTCACATCGGTTTTTCATCCTCCCAAGGGATCACACTGTCAGAAAGAACATTAACCAGCCTGGGAGCAGGTGGCAGACCCAATTGATATGGATCAGGTGAAGGAACACCTTGAGAATCTGGACATTCACAAGTCCGCGGGCCCAGATGGAATGCACCTGAGAGTCTCGAAGGAGCTGGCAGACATCATTGCATCCCCCTTGGGAAAGAGTTTGAAAACTCGTGGCACTTGGGCAAGGTCCTAGAAGACTGGAAAAGAGCCAACGTGGTCCCTATCTTCAAGAAAGGGAGGAGGGATGACCTGGGGAATTATAGACCAATCAGTCTGATGCCCATCCCTGGAAAAATCCTGGAGAAAATTGTCAAGGGATCCATCAATACCAGACTAACGGAAGGCAAGCATCTGAATGCCAGCCAACGTGGCTTTGTGACTGGCAGATCTTGCCTGACCAACCTTATCTCCTATGACCAGGTAACACATGCCCTGGACAAGGGAGATGATGTGAATGTCATATCTAGATTTCAAGAAAGTCTTTGACCTAGTTCCCCATGATATCCTCATGGTTAAGCTGGGGAACTGTGGCCTTGATCATCTTACAATCCGACGATTAGGTAACTGGCTACGGGGTTGGACCCAAAGAGTATTAGTTGATAGGAGCAAATCAACATGGCACAGGGTGACAAGTGGAATCCTTCAGGGCTTGGTACTCTTTAACATCTTCATTAACGATCTGGATTCGGGAGTCAGATGCAAACTGGCAAAGTTTGTGGATGACACCAAATTATGGGGGGAGGGCAGTCACACCACAGGACAAGCTGGGGATACAGGCCGACTTAGACACGTGCTCAAGGTGGGCTGACCAAAACCTGATGGCCTTCAAAGTAGAGAAGTGTAAGGTGCTGCACCTTGGTAGGAAGAACCTTCAACTTAGCACTGCTGGGCCCGTAACTACGCTCGCTAGCACCACAACTGAAAGAGACTTGGGAGTCTTGATTGACCACAAGATGAATATGAGCCATCAATGTGATGCTGTGGCTGACAAAGCAAATAAAAACTCTGGCATGCATCTACCGATGCATCTCAAGCAAAACCAGGGATGTGTAGGAGTAATTTAGTTGAGCTTCTGACCTACTTGACCAGAAAAA